CAGGTCGCGCCGACGGTGTCGTGGTATCCGCATCACCGTCCTCATCGGGACGGTTTATTTGACCTTTCTTCTTTATCCGCTAGGAACCCGAAAGACCTGTTTAGTGCCGCCTCGCCGCCGTGCTCGCGATCTTGACTTTAGCGAGAACTACGTAAAGCATAACCTGTATCAGTACCCATTTATTACAGTTGCATCAATGTCATGCCATGTTCCTAATAAGTGTATGAACCAGTCCTTCCTATTGGTATAATCTTGCATATTCTATGCCTCCAGGATACCAGTATTCCTCCACCGCTCCCAGAGCAATCCCACGCCGACTGGAGCACCGGGTTCACCTTTGATATCCTTGGCCTCCAGAATCTCATACTTCCACCCAAACGCGAGGAAGTGCGCGAACAAAGAATTGAAATGTGGCTCGGACCGAAGATGAAGAATTTCTGGATAATGCGCGTGGTATATGTGTGCAAATACTCGCAGAAGCTGGCGGTAGACGTGCTTGACCGTTGCGGGGAACGTGGGCGTGAACTGCTGGCCTATGGTTTCCAAGTCAACATGAGAGGGAAGGGTGATCAGAACGTGGCCCCGTACCAGATTTTGACGGGAATACGTTCTCGTCGTCGAGAAGAGTTTGTATGGAGGACATGACTGAGTCGATGTAGTTTGGCGCGGAGAGTGTAACTTGCTTGCGGTCCGGCGTGGTCCAAAGGTAATTCAAGCTTTCACGTCTGATTAGCCTTTTGATGCGGCAGTCGGAATGAGATGAACGCACTTGTTGCCTGCAGACATTGTTGGACACGTCTGTTGCGTGCACCGCTCTGAAATGACGCCGTAGAATTCATTGAGATATGTGTAAAAGTCGTACACTGTCAGGGCGGTCTATCAGTCAGAGGAGTGTCAACGTGGACATTCACGTACTGTTGACGGCAACCCATTCCATGATGTCGACATATTTGGGCAGCATGACTATCGTCTTGAAGTTGCCCTTGACGAGCGCCGCGTCTGCGAACGGGCTGCAGAGGTAGAGGGGTTTGGAGACGGTTCCATCTTCGGTCGGCGACGCATCACCCCGCGTCTGCGAGTTATTGCGGGATAGCGAGCCTGACGTCGGTGTCGGCGAGCGCTTGGAACGGCTGGGTTGTCTGTTTTTGTTGCTACTTTTGGGTGTCAATACAGGTGTTCTGCTCTGCCATCAGGCTCAACTGACCCAAAGAAAGACATTATTCACGTCGAATACAGTCAAGAAAACAGGTAGTGCTAAAGCAGACGCGTATCTCAGTTGACAGGAATGGATGGTGGAAGCAGCAGCAGAAAACGGTGATTATCGGCACCTTCCATTTTGAGAAAATGCGCGTTGTCAACTCGTGCAGACTCGTGCAGAGACTACGATGACCCTGGCAACAATAATGCAACCAAGCCAGAACCAAACTCACTAGTCGTAACATGACTGCGTTATCTGCGTGGAAATAAGACGCGATCCGACGGTTTTGGGTGAGTTTGCACTGTACAATGTCATCCTCCGACCTTGACCGCAATTTGCCTTGATTCCCTTTTATGTAGGTTCTGCAGATCCTCCTCCTCATGGGGAGGATTCAGAGTCTGTGTTAATCTCCAATCAATCTCCGCTTCAGAGGTCACCGACTTCCGAGGCCGAGGAATAATCCACGCTTACTAGTAGTCGGCGCGTGGGCTGTTTGCCGCGAACATGTGCTCATCTTGTTATTTTCTGCGCACTTCATATTCCTTCAGCCTATGGGCAGCCTTCATTTGACCTAATCAGGACTACTCATGGCTCTTTCGGCTTCTCCGCAAGTCAGACACAAGTCGTAGCATCCGTGCAACCGTCGGCTTACTAGTCAACACTCTAACGTCGATTCGAAGCCACACCTTGCGTTATCAGTGGACCTATATATATGCTTCGTGAAGCACTGATCAATATCTCCTCTGAACCATGATGATCACTCTTCAAAACGCGCTTCCACCAGGCCCAGCCTATCTCCTCGTCGACTTGCTCCCCTACGTCGTAGCAGTGTCTGCAACGAGCTCAGTTTTCTTAACAGCTTTCAGCCAGTATACAGGAACCGATGTTGCCGTCGGGTGGTATGTCGCTGCTTCCATTCTCATCCACCCTCTTGTCCGCCTCTTGTTGTTCATCTACCGCGGCGTTGTACTCCGACGTACTATGAAGGAAAAAGGCGCTATTCCTATCCCTGCAGTTGATCTTTCAAGCAGCAGCATCGTCAAGACCCTGCTGAAGAACAGTGATTCTGGCTACATCGGCGAACCTATATGGGCCTGGGCAGCGCAGTATGGCAATACTTATGAACTGAATTTTTTCGGAGGAGAGAAACGAGTGCGTACCCCGTATTTTCTATACACAATTCCACTCATATTGGTAGGTGGTGACGCTTGAACCAGACCATATCAAAGTCAGTATTGAACATATGACTTATGTCGAAGCGACTCGTTCTGACGATTGTCCCACAGGCCGTTCTTGCTACTCAATTCAAAGAGTTCGAGAAATCACCCATCACTTTGACGCAATGGTCAGATCTTCTGGGAACTGGGGTCTTCAATGCGAATGGTGAGCTGCGCAACATGGTGATACGAATCAATTGCTCATCCCTAATTCTCTCTGCAGGTGATATGTGGAAGTATGTCGTATGAGCGCTCTTTGCCTGACATGTGGTTAATTACTCGATGCAGATTCCACAGAAACATGACACGTCCCTTCTTTAACAAAGACAGAATCAGCGACTTTGACAACTTCGAAAGGCATACGATCTCGTCAATTGCTCTAATCAAAGCCCGGCTTCAAGAAGGACATCCTGTTGATTTCCAAGTGAGATGCCCATTTACTCCTCAGAATGATTGCTCACCTCGGGTCTTAAGGACGTTGTTTCACGGTTCACCCTAGATTCCGCTACTGAATACCTCTTCGGAAAAGACGTCGAATCTCTATCCGCAGGATTGCCCTACCCTCCTTCATCAAACATTCCCAATCCCATTCATTTCGAGAATCATCCCTCCAATGTTTTTGTACGCGCCTTCCTCGAGGGACAGGAGTTGATCGCGAAACGGACTCGTTACGGACAGACATGGCGCTTGATGGAATTTTGGAAAAATAAGGTGACGCCTCAGCGACAGATCGTCGACGAATTCGTCACTCCCATGATGAAGGACGCTTTCAAAAGGAAGGCGGCCGGTCAACTAGAGAAGGATAGCGCAGCTGGAGATCTTCTCAGCAGCTTGGTTGTCGGCACCGATGGTATGTTACTAGACGTTTCAATTCCCACTAAGACTTATCGTTTCCGTGTAGACGAGAAGGCGATACAGGACGAACTTATCAATATTCTCGTCGCTGGCCGAGATACAGTGAGTGTCTCAGTCGTCTTCGTTCACTCCGACTGACGCGTGCAACGTGCAGACCGCATCTCTTCTGACTTTCGGCATCTACGCCCTCAGCAGGAACTCAGAGATCCTCAGTAAACTTCGCGAGGAAATAGCTTCGGTCGTGGGGAGGAGGGCGCCGACATACGATGACATTCGGAACATGAAGTATCTCAGAGCATTCCTCAATGGTAAATGTGGTCTTACTTGTTCTATTCATCTTTACTCATTGTTTGTGAAGAAACTCTCCGACTCTACCCACCCGTGTAAGTGATTATATGTAGTGTATGTGTTGACGGTTGCTCATGATACGATCTTCCCAGTCCGTTTGACGCGCGGTAAGGTGTTTTTGTCTTGCATGCGGCGAAAACGCTCATAGTCTTCCTTCCTTTAGATCTGCAAGCGTTGATACTACCCTCCCCCACAAAGGCGGTAAACCGTTCTATGTCGCGAAGAACACCAAGTAAGTGTCTTCTCTATGTACTTACCCTTATCGGCTGCTAACGTTCTCCATAGTGTTATGTACTCCGTCTTCTTGATTCACCGTCGCACCGACCTCTGGGGCCCTACTGGTGCGTCGACATCTCTATTTAAGATTCTTTCAATGCCCATCTCCGTCGTAGCGCTGGAATTCGATCCCGATCGCTTCCTCGACGAGCGCCTCCAGAAATATCTCACTCACAACCCGTTCATCTTCATGCCTTTCAACGCCGGCCCTAGGATCTGCCTTGGGCAGCAGGTGAGCCCAGTCTTACATTTTTACGGATCTGCACTCACGAGAAATCGCGGTTCAAGTTTGCGTACAACGAGGCATCTTACTACCTGGTACGCCTGCTGCAGAACTTCTCCTCCTTCAGCTTGGCCAGTGAGGTGCAACCACCCGAGTCGCTTCCCCCGAAAGTTTGGTCTACAGAGGCAACTCCGGGATCGACGAGAGACATGGATACGATCAAGATGGGATTGCATCTGACTTTGTACGCCAAGGTTCGTGTTGCTTTGTTTGATTTCAAGTATTGGAATGCTGACACCGCAATAGGGTGGTCTATGGGTTCGTATGACAGAAGACAAGGGTGAAGACGTATTTATCGAACAATGATCTTATAATACTGCTGTAGCAAACTTTCATTAAATCTATTTTCGAAATCGAGCCTGATGATGCGATTTATGTGGTAGTTGCTTCATGAATAGGACCACCGGGTGAGATAGATTCTCGGACGAGTGCCTCAGCTGGCACTTACGCGGGCTAGATGAACATCTCATCCTTTTGATTTTTGAAACGGACGGCGAGCTATGACTTCAACTTTCAATTGCAAGTGAGAGCATGACGGAAATCTCTTCTAGCTCTCGCGTCTTGAGTTTTGCTTCACTCGTGTTGATCAAGACCTTGTCAAGAGCAGCTCTTTTCCGTTGGTCAAGGCTCGCTCATCAACTGGGACACACGTCCATATCCATGGCTTCTCATTCAGGTAGACGAACAGGAAGTTATGGTTTGATCGTACTCTGGTAATGGCTGAGAAGAAGATTATAGGCATGAGATAGTTTCTTTCATTCACAAAAGAAAAACTGGCACGTCTACGTGCCGTGATATAGCACTCACTAAAATCATGTGGACGTCCGATATGGTGTAACGGCTAACATTGCCGCCTTTCATAAGCTCAATGCTCATTCAACTGGTCACGCGGCAGCTCGGGGTTCGATTCCCCGTATCGGAAATGTCTTCAATTTTGATACGGACCTGTTAATACAAGTTACCGGTAAATAACTGGTCCGAAACCCAGCAATTCGCGCTGCCGAAAACTTTTACTTCAGTCTTTAGCAAAGCTCGCGCTTCGTCGCCTTTCATCTCATGCGAGATGAGGGTGCCGCGCCTCTGCGCCACATCACGTGTCAAAGCACGTGCCGGCATCGAAAGTGTTGGCTTCTAAACTAATAAGGCTTCTCGTTGTTAACACGGAATGTTTGATACTACAATCTGCAGTGTTTTGTGGTGGTACTGGTTAACTGATACATACCAGCCTTCCGGGAGTATACTAGAAATCGAGAGACTTATCCGGCTCGATCAATCCCGATCACTGCTTTCCATCCATCACCAGTGACCACTTGCTCCTCCTCGTTTTGTAAGATAGCTCTGATGGCCGAAAAGAGAAAGATTGGTATGAACACAGCCTCTTTAATTGCTCTCTGCATCACCTGGAACTCAATGAATCATTAAAAAGTCTTCGTCACCGGCAACGCGAATAAACTCAAAGAGGTGCGCGCTATCCTTGCCCAAGGAGCCGAGCTGCCGGTCGAGATTGAGTCGCGTAGCGTCGATGGTGAGTCTACATTTTGCTTTCGTTATACGCTATGTTTCCTGAGAGCCATCCAGTCGATGAGATGCAAGGCACAACTGCCGAGGTCGCTATAGCCAAATGCGCGCGGGCGGCGGAGCTCGTACGTTCCTCATCTATTAAGCCTTGATTCCGTGCACTATCCACGCTCTTAGACGCGTCTTCCAACGTTGACAGAAGATACCGCTCTAGCATTCCACGCCCTAGGCGGCCTCCCCGGCCCTTACATCAAACATTTCCTTGCTGCCGTTGGCGGAGAGGGCCTCAACAAAATGCTAGACGGGTTTAGAGAGGTCGAAATAGACGATGAAGGCAACATTATTCGGGACGAAAACGATCAACCAAAAGAGAAAGGCAAGGAGGCCGAGGCGATATGCACATTCGCATTCTGCACTGGGCCTGGTTCGTTACATATCCTTTGACTATTCGTCACTGACTGCGAACTACAGGCCAACCAGTACAGCTGTTTGAAGGACGCACACTCGGACGAATCGTCCAACCACGTGGTCCTGGTGTATTTGGGTGGGATAACACCTTTCAGCCAAACGAAGGAGGAGGAAGGACGTGAGCCTTGTACTCTCGTCATTCTTTAATAACCTCACGATAAATCTACAGATACGCGGAAATGCCAGCAGCGGAGAAGAACTTGATCTCTCATCGATATAGAGCCCTCGAAAAGTTGAGAGAGTACTTAGTTACCCTATAGAACACATAAAGTGCTGTTGAAGCGAGGTCATGGTATAACAGCATCTATCCGTGAACAGGAGCTACAATTACTGAATCTATGTCATAACAAGTCTAGATGACGGCGTTAATCCCGACATGAATAATCCTAGGGCATGAATCAGCTTATTGTGGCTTAGATGGACAGACAGCACTAACTCGTCCGCAGACGTCAACCAATTCGCGGTTTCAGGGAACATCGTGGCTAGGAAGTAATGCCACATAAGCATCGGGTGACAATGTAAGAGTGCAGTGCTCACCCAGCCGGCGATAGATATCCTCAATGAGGTACTTTCGGACATAGTTTACCACAACGGAAAGCTTTCCGGCCTCCACCTTTTTGCTCACGACGTGGTAATGAGGAACTCTGCCAGACATAGAACGATCAATGGACGGCGTCAGTGGAGGAAGACCAGGTACGAACATGTGCGTCGTGTTCGCTGAGACACGTCGAATCTTGTCAATGAGGTATCCGCTGCGTTGTGGGTCCGCCTTTTGCTCCAAAGAGCACAGCATTTCAACCAAGTCATCAATCTAGAAAGGAGTTCGAGGTGAACTTGAACTTTAACGTTCTTTGTAAATGCGTCTAGTAAATACCTTCACATCGAAATTGTCTCTGAAACCGATACAATATGTCACACCATAGAATCCTATCCCGCGATTAGGACCTGACTGGCAGACTGGAAGCTGACTATGGCCGACCTTCTATGCTGCGAACTTTGGTCACGATATAGCGGTCCTCGACGGGTACTCTTGCGATAGGAACAACAGACACAGAGAGGAAAATCTACACGGCAGTCGTTAGATTATACCTGTAGCTCGGCGTCCGTGGACTCACCAGAACCTCCGGAAGTGCAGGCCATTGCCGCACCAGTCCAATGAAACTATGCGGCACCCCACTGCCCTCCGTAATCTTATGGAAAACAGCACATGTCGGTATGCGCGCGAGCTCCCTGCGTTGAGCGAGTTGATTATGGGATCCTTTCGAGCTGACAGAATCAATATAATAATATGTCGACGCCTCATCCGACTGAGGTGCATCATCCATGAGAACATCTTCGGTCTCACTCTCAGAACCGTGAGGCTCCAACCGGATGGTGACTCGCGATTTCTCGTCGCGCTGAATGAATTCCCTGAGGTTACGTCTGTTCTTGCCATCAAACGCGTCCTCAAGACCCTGCGGGACCGCGTCAGAAAACTAGGGCGCGATGAAGTGAGTTCTCACCTTGCCCCATGTCCATAGAATCATTACAAGGGCGCTATGTGGATATCAGATAACGGAAACACTAAGAATTCGGGCGACTAGACTTACATGCATGACCCAATCATGAGAGGAACCCAAGCACCATGAGGAATCTTTCTCAATGACGCGCCCCAGAAGAGCCCATCGAAGAAACCAAAGACCAAAAGGTATGCGAGCGCGACGACGCCGGGCAGCATCTTCACATAGCGTATGTGCACTCCGATCAAAATCGTAGTCGAGAACATGACCGTCGCTACAGCGAATCCGTATGCGTTGGTCAGCTTACTGAGGTCAGAGAACGCGGCCACGATGACGATGGTGCCAATCATCAGCGACCAGTTGATGGCGGGAATGTATATCTGTCCTTGGATCGTTTCGGAAGTGTAGAGCATCCGCAGCGGGGGGAGGCTCTTCATGCTGATGACTTGTTGCAGCAGACTGAACGTTGCGGTGATCATAGCTTGCGAAGCGATGATCTGTCGGAAGGTGAGTAAGGGGCAGGTATGTGACAATTGAGAACATACAGTAGCCAGAAGTGCAACAATCCACATTACCCTAGGAGGGGCGTATGAAATTCTCTGTAGACTGACGAGCGTGGAAAGAATACACACCACCAAAGTCCGCCGTTGATAGGACCGGGAATGGACCGATAGAATACATTCAAAATGACATTGTCTCCATCCGTTATCAGCTTCGCCCCTTGTCCGAGGTATGCTAGGATGAGGGAGGGATACACAAGGAAGCCAAATGACAACTATCGCTTAAAAATTAGTTGTGCATATCGCCGAGCAGGCAGAAGGACGAACTTGGATCGATAGCGCATTAAATTGTCCAACACTAGTAAGTCAATTAAGTCATCAACATTCATAACTTGAACGTAACGATGCATACTTGGCAAAAATAGCTTCGCAACCTGTCACAGCAAGGAGAACACCAGCGAGAAGGTCATAGTCTCCTGTACGAACAAACACTATCAAGGATAACGTCAGACCGGAAACCAGGCGAAGGCGGTCAAACCACTCACACATGACTGCACGCGAAGGATCAAATGCTCTGAAAATCCCGGGGAATGAAGTAATATTATAAATGCCAGTGGCCGCGAGGAGAAGGAACCAGATGAAGGCGACTACGGATGATATCAGATTCAATACTCTAGAAGTCGCGGTTTGAACTCACTTGGAGAAAATGTATAGGCGAGCTTAGCCGTACCGAACTGTTGGACAAAGAAGATGACGAGGAGAAACGCCTTGGAAGATAGGTCAGATACCAAAAGCGAATACAAATTTGAACCGGTACAATTGAGATGGGCACAATGTGATCTGCGACCGATGCTTGCGCGACAGCAATACCGCCCACGGCGGACGTGACGGACACGGCGGGAGTGAACATGCCATCGGCCATTGTCAAGCTAGGGGAGCAGGGTTTGACAAAAACCTCTAAAGGACAGTTGTATGCACGTACGACGTTCCAAACAAACACTGTTCATCCTGCGTTAATCGCTACACGTGCGCAAGAAGAAAAACACGCGTACCCAGATAAGCAATGGCCAACGCATCTTGTCTTTCAATTTCGACTTCTCTGGCGAGATAGGCCGTGAGTCTATTCCATAATCTCCAGTAAGCGCACGATCATCATCGAGATTCTTGACGCGTGGCGGGTATAATCCTTGGAACAGCGCAAAGGAGCCGCCCTCGCCTAGAGAGTATCAGAATGTGTAGTACGAGCCTCGCATCGGCACTGACCTTCTTGAGTAGCGAACCTCAAGGATATGAAAACCTGGAAACATGATAAACTTTGACACACGTGCGGCGGGAGCAGCGCGCACATATTTTATCAAGGGTAGTAAAGAGATGGCCCAGACGATGGCGCTGACACCTCCAATAACGTCCTCCTGCGAGGGTGCTGCGGCAGAAGCCGGCCAGATTCCATTTAGCACATATAGCGGGGACGTGCCTATGAAAGCATGAGTATCTCAGAAGGCTGTCGGGACCGATTATAATCTAAACTGACCAATGTCAGAATAGATGATACCTGGTGACCATGAGTGCATGTAGCTTCTAGCGTCGAGGACGTACCCAAAGTCTGAAAACTGAGACCGAGAAGGGCAGATCCCTTTAGCTGAAGGGCGCGTCTCTTGTACGTACTAGTTCCAGATTCAAGCGCAGGAAGCGACATTTGTCGAGATGAGAAACTGTTAGGTTTTTTTTACGGAGTTTAAGAGGGCCTCAGTGTGCACAGGTCTGATATTCTGCATCCGGATGGCTGGGAGGAATGGCGAATTTCGCGCAAGTGATGGCCCGCTGCAGACTCCCGCGTTTGATGTGAATTGCGGACACTGAGGTAATATGGCCATTGCGCACAACGTCCACCCGATAGCATATATATATGATAGAGAGCAGGAGGAAAGAGGAATTTT